GAATGAGAGAAAGCAAGAAAAGCACTTAGAGCATTCAAATTACACAAAAATAATATAAACATAGAAAACAAAAGTAATTAATTAGTAATGTTTGGCGTCCTACTTGCCCTACCTTGAAACGACTCCATTTTGTTTTATAGTGACGGAGTAGAAAAAATCCTGACTTCAGGTTGTCTTCTCAAGTAGTGCTATTCGAAGCTAACCTCACTAACTAGAGGCAAAACACAATAAGAGAATAAAATCCTAAAACATTCTAATTGCATGAGTTGATTTGGTTTTTGTTAGAATATTTACTTGTGATTGTCACACATCGTTTATGTAGGAAAAATATGCCTCATTTATAAGTCTAGTAGACTACTCTTCCTTTCACCAATTAATTTTGGGATGAAACCTCATTTGAGCTTCATTTAGACTTTCCCGATCTTGCATGGTATCAAAGTCAGTTCTATTGGGACCGTGCGATGACGTACCCGTTTCCCAACCCACTTGGGCTTGGGCTCCCAGCTCTGTATATGGGCTTAGGTTTCTTATGAAGAACTCACAAGTGAGAGGGCGTAATGGAATGTTCACTTGTGAATTGTCCCACATCGTTTATATAGAAAAAATAGGACTAATTTATAAGTTTAGTGGGCTACTCCTCCTTTCATCAATTGGTTTTAGGATAAAATCTCATTTGGGCTTCATCTGAGTTTCCTGTCATAGTGCGCTTCATATGCGTATTTTCACCAATAACTAAGAAAGAAAGTATAATATTAGCCCGACTCCCAACACTGAAAGATTAGAAGAAGAAATACATAAACATAATAGTCTAAGAAGTACGTACTTAAATAATAAGACATGAAAAATGAGTCTTAAATAATAGGACATAAAAGATGAGTATTCGAACCTAAGTGATCGAGTTTATATCATCGTCTCAGCCTTTATACTTGATTAACACGTATTTTAACTCCCTAATTAGCATGGTTTTCAAAATCAGATCGAACCGACCGGTTCGACCAATTCAACCGGGAACCGACCATTATACCGGTCCGATTTGAAGTAGTAAATTGCTCGTGCCAAAAACTAGTTAAAAATCGCCCAAATCGGTTAAAAACCGGTAAATCGACATAGGTTTTGCGGCGGGCCAATCGGTTTAGTTAATGGCTTTGGATTGGAAAGCTAAAGCTATCATTTAAATAGCATGATTTTTTCCTTGTCCTTTCCACGTGGGATATACACCCTTTTCCTTGCTTTTATTTTGTACTTGGGCTTACAAGTTGATTTTGGGCTTGGGCCTATAATATTATTTTGGACTAATTGAGAATTCTACTAAGTGTGAAGGATTTGTAAGCAAAGGCCCAACATACCATATTTTTATACTAAGTGCCATACGCACTAAAAACAGGGGCATTTAGTAAAGATCTCTGCGGCTCAGGCGAAAACAGAATCAAGACTCACGTGGGTGCTAGTTGTGAGCAGTCTGTGAGTCCTTGTTCGCGGGCACACGAGTCGAGAAACTGCCTTGTAAGGCTGTGTGCTCGGTTTGACTCTGCAGGGTGCTTTAGTTCTTTTGAAAGTTAGGAGGCTCATTTGATTAGCAATCTCTTGGTACAGAATCAACCATCTCTTCTACGAATTTTGGAACCGCAAATAACTTGGTGGAATTTCGTAACATTTGTCTTCAACTGAAAATAACCGCTTTGTTGGGATGACAAATCGCCACATTGTGTTCTTCTTCTTCATCTTAGACCTACAAAAAAACATCAAAACGCACAAGACAAAATTGAAAAAAGATGAAAATGACTCAAAACCTTAAAATACTAAAAACGAAGAAAATGGACAGGGAAAACACGAATAAGAGCCTAAAATGGCTCGAATCACTATATTAAAAACACGAAAGTGAGCACATATACATACAAAACACCTATGCATATATGCAAGTTCATGTGATGTTAAAAGGACCTTGAGGTCTTTGAGTGACCCTTGGTTTGCATACATCTGACTGGAAAAAAAAAATGCAATGCATGTGATGTTAATGATAGAAAGTTTGTCGCAAGGACTTGTGTTTTTCAAAGTAATAGTCTAGTTTCTTGTCGCTCAAAGAAGCAATGTGCTGTTTCAAGATCAAGTACAAATTAAAGGCTGCGTACATAAGCCATGCTCATACAACTGCAAAAATTATGAAACATCAAGTACAAATTAAAGGCTGCGTACATAAGCCATGCTCATACAACTGCAAAAATTAGTTGGTTGTATTCTGATGAACATACACAACATCGATCGTGGTGCACGTGCAACATCAAGAATCGCGTACGCAAATGGCACGTGAGAGAACCAGATGCCCCATTCATAGGTTTTTACCTTTCTGTTTGGTTGTGTGTTTTGTTGATTCCTTGTGAATGTTGTAAATTGTATTGTAGGTTAGAATATGTATGAAGCCTTTATGAAATTATTACTAATGAACACATGAATTTTCTTTGGATCCAAAGTTAGTTTTCAATGCTAAAATTTTTCAAATTTCTTGCTTTTTGTTTTCAAATACCATTCCATTTATTACACAAGATGCTTCAAGGAACAACCACATCATATAGGCGATGTAGTTCATATAACAATTGAGAGCGTGAGAACAACAATACCATAACTAAAAATAACATCATATTTATTCTTACGATTCTCATATTAAGACTTAATAATTTCTATATCGAGTAGTTTTTCGAGTTAAAGATAAAAAGTGAATAAATGAATAAGTACTTGGTGAAGGTTTTATAATTACACCATGAAGCACCCCATGTGGTTAGGCAAGATAACCTAATTTTTGTTTGCAATATTATGTATACGTCTTTCAGAGTTTGTAGCTTTTGACCTTGTCCAGAGTTTCCCTTTTGTACCCCCCCAAAGTTTCACTCTTTAATGGCATTAATTCTTCTTTTTGAGGAAAAATAGAAACGAAATATCAATTGTGCATAGAATATTCTACTATGTTTATTATTTAGTTAGGTTTAAGGCTAGTAAAGTTTTGATTGTGTTTTCTTAGCATACGAGTGGATTTAATATTTTCTAAATATAGAAGACAGAAGTTTAATCTTTTGTGAATGAGTTTTCAAAAGTAAATCATATAATCAAAAGTAGTTTCAATATAATTCAACTAATCAATGGCACTTTGGCAATCTTTTAAAACTGGCCAATCGTCCATATATATAATTTTAGAATGCGATGAATCTAAGTGGCAGACTCGTGTGATTCGTAAGCTTATTTGGCATAAATTGGTGCTTCATACTGACACATGTTTAGGTTCGGTTTTGACTATTAGGCTTGAGAATTACCATAAACTATTTTAGTTTTTTTTTTCTTAAGTTACCATATACTACACTTACTTTTTTTCTTTAATTCATATATTAATTATTATAAATATGTATTCTTTTTAATTTTAAAACTTTATAACTTTTTTATTTGTATTTAATTTTTTTTATATATGATCTACCAAAATAATCATATTTTAACGATTTTCGGTTTGACATCCATATTGCATTTTAAAAAGTAGAAATAATTTCATCTATATTTATAATATTATAAATTTTATTGTCAACTCAATTTAAAAAACATCATATTGACATTAAATTATTTTATAAAACTAATAAAAATCTAATTCATTAATACACCAAAAAATAATCATTTTATTGTTTTTTTCCATAAAGTTTGAATTAAAAAAAATGAAAATTAAGTATAAAAATTTTAAGAAATATTATAAAAGATTATTTCTCAATTTAAATAGATTATATAAAAAATGAATGTTATTATGTTATTTAAAATAGAAAATATAAATAATATCATAGTTAAATATAATAAAATAATTTTGTATTATGAATTGTTTATGTATTATGAATCACAGTAAGAATGTGAGTTATATAGACAATGACCAAAAGAAGAATAATGTTATGTTACCAGAAGTTGACAGAAAACAAAGTTAATGTAGATGGAGATGATTCAGGATGGAACAATGTATTTTAATGAATAAAAGCAAACACAAATGGAGATTTTGAAGTATGGAGTGAGGTTGGCAAATCAGATTATCGAACCCGGGGGCACTCTGACTCGGGTATCTGCTTTCACGGCTTGGGGATGGATCCTGATTATGAGATGAAAGTCCAGTGGTCATGTAAATGGATTTTGTTATTGGACGGACAGCTTCGGATTGTGGTGGACATGTGCAGTGTTTACGATGATAACTTGCACAGTTGATATCGAGGTTTGGATTTGGAACAATGACAATCGTTACTGCTTTACGACGACCGACTTTGGATATCGATGCAGAAAGTTAGGTTTCTATTTTGGAGAAAGTTAGTAATTGGAAAATTAATATAACAATGATGATTATTTTGTTTTCAGCAAGAGCAAGAGACAACTTTTTATTTCTCTGTCGAGCTTTATTAGATAAATGTATCCTTTGTGGTTGATTCAGAAAAGCCTGAAGCAACAAACAGAGGGAAAGAAATGGTTGACTCAGATGAAGTTAGAGTCAGGTAACAATTATTTGTTTCCAAATGCTACAAGCTTAACTCATAGTCTCATACTCGTATGAACCGATCTCCCTTTTTCTGTATTCCTGGCAGGTACGTGCTATTATGTTCGATCTTGATTCATTCAATGAACACAATGACATTTCTTTTGGCAATAATAAAATGATGAATTTGTTGTGATTATAATATGCTTTCAAAGCCAGCCAGCCATGCCCCTGCATAGGAAATTGGTAAACATACATACTCATATACAAAGGAAGGAAGGAAGGACATTCATTCAAAAACAAACTTAAAGGATGATGATAAACAGGGTTGTGTTAATGGTAAGATACTACCACCCATCACAAAATAAACAACCATAATTCCTACACAGAGTACCTACACAAAAGCCTGGAAACTAGATAAACACAAACCAAAATACCCAATCACAAATTATAAGCCTAATAATAAACCACAGATATTGATAATATCAGAAGGCAGCAACCGGCATCTGCATGCACACCATCAATGTCCCCGGGACGACTTCATCATCCTATGAAGAAGCTTTGCCTTTTGAGTCTTCAACTCAAAAAGCCTAGCGTACACCTCAATCTCTTCACTCTCCAGCTTCTTCAATTCTTCTTCATCGTCCTTAGTCCCCATTTCCCCCTCCCTGAGCACGACGTCCCCAACAGCTCGAACATCCCCTAAACCACTCACCAACCTTTCCCTCATCCCAACAGACCTCCGCTCACTAGCCAATGAATCCTTAATATTATTGGCTTCTTCAACCCTGTTTTCTTTATCGGCCCCATTGCCATTGGCGTTTTCTTTCTCGGCCTCACTGCCATTGGGGTTTTCATTCTCGGCCCCACTTCCATTGGCGTTTGCTTTCTTCGCCCCACTGCCACTGGTTTTTTGGACCTCGTTTTCATTCTCCGTGCCCCACACTTTCTCAGACAGATCATAGGCTTCTTGCTCATGACGGCTCGTAAAGGTTGTTCCTTTACCTTCATTCCCCTTGCCCTTGTTTGTGTACTTCTTTTTCAGCCTATAAATCTTATCCTTCAGCTGGGCCCTCGTTGCGTCAAAGTGCAAATTCTTCTTGATCAACTCAAAAAAAACGTCAAAATTATCACTCGGCTCGGATTTCTTCTCGGCCCTAAACTGCAGCATTCCGTTGAGGATGGCGATTTCGTCGGCCTCGCTCCATATCCTCTGGAACAGTTGTTTCTTCTCCGATGCCTCGGGTTCAGCCTTCTTACTCTTCTTCGATTTCTTGTTACCAGTGGCCTCCGTCCCATTAACGTCCTGGACGGCCCGCTTCCTAGTAGATCTGGAAGCTGAAGCGGAGGCGGAGGCGACGGTGGCCTTGTCTTTGCCTTTCGCGGAAGGGGCGGGCATAATGGCGGAAGGGGTTTGGGGTTTCCTCGCGGCGGCCGGCGGTGCGGAAGACTTCCGGATCTGTTCGGGCTCAGATTCGATTTCCTCAGACGAAGAATCGTGGGTTTTCTCCTCGCCAGAAGAGGTTTCAGAGGAGACGGGCTCACGGGCTTTCGACATTTTTCGGTGAGAAAATTAGTATGTTAGGGTTTTCTTTGGAGGGGTCAGACTGAGAGTGAATGGCGAAGTAGTGGTAAGTTAAAAAATAGATTTGGCTTTGTACCAAAAAAAAAAAAGATTTGGCTTGTCAAGGACGCCATTTTAATTTTAGTGTAACAGTATTAAAATTAAAATAATATCATAGTTAAATATAATAAAATAATTTTGTATGTCATAAAGTTAAGAAAATAATACGTTGTTACATAAAATCTAAAATATCAATTATACGAATTCAAAATACTTAAAATTTTAATAAACGTGAGACACTGACTCTAGAAATATAAAATATAATCACAATACAATAAAAAAAATTTATATAAAAAATTTATCAATCAAATATATGAAATTATAAATAATATCCCTTTATACATATATAATTTAAAAATATCTTTTTCGACATATTTAGTGTAAAAATACGAAGCCCCATTTAAATTAATTATCACTTTGTAGTTATTTATTATTGTTGCATATTCATCATACATAATTTCACAATAAAAATGTAAATTATTATATTTTTTATTGTACAATATTAATATATTTAAATACCTGTGTAGTACACGGGTATTGTATTAGTTTAATAATAACTAGTGTGGTACCGTGTGATGCACGGGGTAAACATTTATATTTGAATGATTAGAAGAACGTAAAACCATGTATTGAAATAAAAACAAATACAAATTATATATAATTAAACAGAAAACGTAAAAATCAT